AAGTGCCATAAATTTTGGCGCCAAGCTTCGGGCTATCTCTTGGCGCCATCTCAGCCGCACGTCAACGTCGAAAACCACTCTCCCATCTTGCATGCAATCAAGTTCTTTCAATCTCAATTACGGCTTCCCAAAGAATCGTTAGATAGGAGGCCGAAACGCCCACCCTTCGTCGATGCGATGGCGCTACATCATAGCGCTGCGGGCATAAAGAACGTAACGGCAGCCCCAACAACCTCTTCCAACACTGTCGTTGACTGGATTGAAACGAAATCGCAGGTCGTGACAGCTCTGCCCTCGAAGGAAATTGCGTTTTCATCCCAGGAAGAGCTCTTTGCCACTGTCTTTTACAAGGCAAATTTTGCATTACTTTGTCAAATCTGTCAAACCTCTAACCTCCACTGCCATCTTAGCACTTCATTGAAACGTGACCTTGGCTATGTTCGTGACAGTATGTGCCTCTGGGGAGATGCCTTGGGTAATGGGCGGTTGGAAGCATGCCTTTCACCACAGGACGAGCTTCACAAGAGCTTGATTAGCCTGTTGGACCGCATAGGCAAAACCCTTATTACAGGTTCGACCATGATAAGAGGCACCGTTAACCGATGCGCTAACTCTACACAGTCATAGAACAGTCAATTAGCATTTGGGAAGTCAAGAAGGCAAAATGGAGCCTGGTAGAAAGCTTGCAAGAGCTTCTTTCCAAAGCTACATCCATTTTGTCAGTCGACGAACCATCTTCCAGTATTTGTGAAAGCGACAGCGACTCAGCCAGCGAAACAGACGATGATGAAAGTCAGGATACAGTCGTAGCTGATATTCGATCACTACAAGTGTACTCTAAATTGTTAATGGACCTTTGCCCAACTTTAGAACAAGCATTCAATACACGGCAGCACGGAGCAGGAGAAAAAGAACCAGCTTCGAGCTTCAAGTCTTTTGAAGTAACGGAGAGCGCTCTTCCTTGGGTCAGTCAAGTATACGAGAAGTTTCGGACAGCTGATAATGGTCTACTCAAGAGGCTTGGAGAAGCTAATTGGCAGAGATGTGTCCGCATCCGAGCATTGAAATCTGACAGTGCTACGGCGCAAGAGAGCTTTGAAGAGCCCAAGACCATCTTCAAACCCTCGACAGTCCACACTTTTCGCGATTCGGCACTTGGTGCCTCGACCCCAGCTCAGTCAGAGGTTGCCGGCTCCGTTGCCTCTCATACTTCCTTCATGTCAAGTGTTGAAGGTGAAGGTGGGAATCACCATGCAGTACCTCGAACTCCTCAGCAGATCTCACGGAACGAGCCTTTTACATGCCCATATTGCGGTACCTTGCTTAAAACACTACGGAATCGGATAGACTGGAAGTGAGTTTGTGAAGACGCATGGAAACAATATTTCGCTAACTCTGCCAGGATGCATGTCTTTTCTGATCTTCAAGCTTATATCTGCACATTCAACGATTGTCATGAACGCCTCAAAACTTTCTCGACACGGACACTGTGGTCTCGGCACGAGCTCGAAGCTCATTTCTCGGACAAGTCGTTTAGGTGTCGCGATTGTCATGAAAGCTCCGTTACATTTACTGATCAGGAGAGCTTCCTTGATCACCTGAGTCGCGTACATGGGGCCGAGGCTCTTACACATGTTCAAGCTCTGAGTATGGCACAGGCTGCAGCGCAGTCAGTCCCAAGGTCTTTTACGGATCAAACGTGCCCTCTTTGTGCGCAAACCGACTGGAAATCGCAACGCGAATATTTCACTCATTTGGGAAAGCATCTCGAACAAATATCGCTAACAGCATTGCCGCCAGAGGAGGATGAGAGTGAGGATGACGATGACAGCGTTCAAGGTGATGAGGAGAATTCTACCTTCAAGTGTATATGTGGGTTCGACAATGACGATGGTTATACCATTTGGGATAAGAGGTGTGATACATGGCAGCACATTGCGTGCTACTATGGAAATGATTCCCAGAGACCAGAGGAACATCTTTGTGTAGACTGTTCGCCGAGAAATCTCGACACGGCAGGTGCCTCGCAGCGTCAAAAGGAGAGTCGAAGAAAGTCAGCTCCTTATACAGCTCCTCATATAGGGGCAGATTGGAGTACTTTCCAACATTGTTTGGATCAAGCCTCCAGAGAACAGGACAGAATCGGGGCTAGGTTAGAAGCTGAAAACAAATGGTTCCTTGATGAGAGCAAAAGGCAGCAAGTGAATGGTCAAAACCTATTGAATGATGCGCAACAGCATTCCAAGAACGATCAGTACAACCATACATATGGGCCACCGTATAGCCCTTCGCAAGAGCTGGGACCTATGCAAAGGAAGCACAGAGAAGGTCGCAAGGGCCCAAGCCAGGATGCGCTTAATGATGAAGCATCAGAAACCAGCAAATGTCCTTATTGCGAGAAGACTTTCTCTGGTGTTGTGTGTGACCAGAAATCTAATCTTAAGCGCCATATCGGGCACAAGCACCATCATCTACTTGATGACGCCCCCAATTACAAGCTGCCTTCAACCAAGGAGCACAAATGCCCTTATTGTGGCACAGGATTCACGGGACATCACAATGTGAAGAGCCACCTACTGACGCACTCACAGGAAAAGCCATATGTTTGCTCAACCTGTCAGTCAAGCTTTCGTCGACTGCATGACTTGAAGCGCCATACAAAGCTTCACACCGGAGAAAGACCACACGTCTGCATCCGATGTAGACGCAAATTCGCAAGAGGTGACGCACTCGCTCATCACCAAAATGGTCCTGGGGGTTGTGCAGGTAGGAGAAGCAGTCCTCCGGTTGATGGGAATAGTCCCAGGAGCGACACCAGTCTATTAACAGAGTTGAAAAGCTATGCGAAGCAGACCGGCGAACACGGACGGGGCTAGTTCATTCCCCTTTGGAAATGCTGTAGCATTTGTTGCCAACGAATTCAGTTCGCTTAACCAGACTTGGGGTTAGGCTCACTAGGAGATAACAGCCCTCCCGGCCACCGGTAGCTTATCAGTAGTTGCCTAGACAAATAGTGTAGCGCTAGCCGGTACAGTCAAGTAGCAACCAAAAGATGTTTGGACGCGTACAAGTCGACTGCCTCAAATTGACCAATCTTCGAGTTCTACGAGTTCTCATAATTTACACCGCTATTGTGTTGCAGGCTTAGGTTCCTTTCTTAATAGTGGCCATGGAGGGTCGCGTCAGTTTGTAGGCCGTCTCCGGGTAAGGATACTAGCGCTGAGCTATGGCTACTTCTGCCTCCTACTGTAGTAGACGTCAACGCTATCGTGGTGGGGGGGCGGTGACCAATATATAAACGAGCGACGCGGTACCAGAAAAGGGATACATCAACCACTCCGCCAAAAGGACAGCGCTTGTGGGTTTCGAACCACACTTAATTGATGTACCCCTCACTGACTGTACCCGCCGAAAGATACAGTACTAGAGCAAAAGTTTGGATACATCCCCACATTATGCCCCACCACTCTCCTCTCCCACTTCTCATACAAATTACTACCTACTGTGGAAAACTCATTAGAATTCTATGAAACTCAAGGATATTGTACATTTAATCTTGTTCTTGAAGCTGTACTAATTTCCTAATTAGGAAATGAGTATTCAGAATCTGGTGTACCATCCTTTGGCCTTGAGCACAGAATTTACCCTTGTATCTATGCTCTTAATTAGATCATTAATAGCATCTTGACTAATTGCCTCCCAACCCTCTCGAATAGCTTGAAACAAGCGTTGATAGTCCTCCTCACTTTTGCCTATTTCAGTTAGTTCAGGATAATGCTCCTGAATCCACTGCTTGAGTTGCGCCTAGAGGTGTTCAATCAGATTCAAATCAGGACTATAAAGCGGCCAATCCATCACTAGTATGCTCTCATCTTCAAACTATTTCTGAATCTTTTTGGCAGTATGAATAAGGGCATTATCCTGCATGAATGTCATACCAGGTTACCATGTTTGAGGCAATTGATCGTTGAGAATTATGAGATAAGAGTTGGCAGTGTCCCCTGACTTCTCTAAATCAGGATCTTGATTCATTATGACTACATCTGAATGCTCATCTCCATAAATTGCACCCTATATTATAACGCTGATATCTCTGTTTTTCTTATAAGGTTATATCATATCCTTATCCCACTTCTGTTAAGGCGTACAAAGGACCTAAGAGCGACGTGCCTTTACGCCTTATTCTAGGCTGTATTCGTCACTCTATATTATCTTGCACTACTCATCTCAAGTCTAATTTTTGTATTTCTTTGCTTAAGTAAGTTGTTTAGTAGCTACTTTTAGCGTCAGAAGAGGTCTCTTTTTAGTTAACTAATTAGTAATACCTTCCTCTTTAAGTAATTAATAAAGAGTAGCCTTGTGTTAGGGCTCAACTGGTTAAGACAAG